CACATTCTGTGCCCCTCCCACTTCTGCTCTGTAAGTTTCTTCATAATGCTTGTCTACTAAAGTGCACCAACCTGCAAACGAAGCCAGGATGAGCTAAGCACACCCAGAGAGCCTGGAGATCCTTGTATCCCATTGACAGGGCATCTCTGCAGTTAGGCTCCACAGGTTGCAGGTGTGGCCAGCAGCTAGCAGGATTTTGGATTAAAGAAGCCTGGTGAGCTTCAATATTTCTAACACTTTAACTGCCTGGGACCTCTTGGCACCAACTAATCAAACGCACAAGTGTCATTTTGAAATCCTTGCTTGGTCTCTGCTTCAGACTTGAATGTCCTTTAAGCTGTTTGCTCGTATCTCTTTTGTAGGGAAACCTAAGCAGCCAAAGGAGGAGGATGGGGATATACCAGTAGGAGGTTTGAAATGGACAACCAAGGAATTCTTTTCTGTGTGTGTGTGTGTGTGTGTGTGTGTGTGTGTGTTACCGGGGATTGAACTCAGGACCTTGCGCTTGCCAGGCAAGCGCTTATTGTACTAAGCTATCTCCCTGGTCCAAGGAATTCAATGTTTATATTCTGTTTTGTTTCATGTTCCCTAGGGAATCCTTCCATACCCACCTTCATGTACATTTTGACATCACATTCATGAAATAATGTTGCACATGGTCTTGTTTGTGCTTGTCTCATCGCTAAAAGGCTGTAAGCCCTAAAGGCAGAAGCTATTTTCTATTTTACTTAAAAACAATAGTATTGCTCAATTACGGTTGCAAAACAATGAATGCACAGGAATATAACCAAAAGTTTGATTGAAAATAGAGTGTCTACATCTAGTCTGAGCTCTCTTGTGAGACCACACCCTGTTGGGTGTCTCAATACTCCAAGGACACAGCACTACTGATATATCAAGAGTGAATCACTCAGACATGGTAGATTTTTGCCAAAAACCATCAAGTTCAGGCAGAACCTGAGGGTGGGACTGAGCTCTCTGAGGCAGGTCCTGGGAAGCAGGCTTTCAGGCAAATGAGAGTTGGCTGTTGCCAAGAAAGCTCAGAAACTAAACACTAGTGTCTGAGATCCTTACAGGAGAAAGGGAAAGGAGATCTGGGACATGTACACAGAAGTGATGCCCATGGGTCCACAGAGCCAGGGGTTAGTCATGCCACCACAATCCAGGGAACCTCAGAAGCTACCAGAAGCAGAGGGAGGCAAGAAAGGATCATCCTCTGGAGCTTTAGGAATGAGTCTGGATCTACCCATGCCTTGATTTCAGACCTGTGAGTCTCCAAAGATGGAAGAGGATGCATTTCTGCTATTTCAAGTTATGGTCATTCATTATAACAGTCCTATGAGCCTGACAGCCCCAGCCTTGCTCCTCAATTTTCTACCGTGATCTATTTGTAGATTTGTCCGTGTCAGCCTAGGTCACAATTGCCCCTGAAAGTGTTTGTGAACCAGCCTTACCACAAATATAAATGTTCCTCCTTAATGATTGAGGTTAAATATCTTCTTTACCGATAACTAAGTACATACTTATTTTGTTCCCGTTTTCAGTATTTGTGGGGGCCTTTGTTGTGTCATCCAGGTATGCTGAGCTGTACCTGAGAAAGCCAGAACACACAGAATTTTTGGGCAATTTTCCTATATTCATTATTCCACTTAAGATGTGGTTCCTTGCTTGTTGAAACAGGAGTGGAACATAGCTCTCCAAAAGCAACCTGCAACTCAATAAACTAATAATTAAGGCAAAAAGGGAGAGGTGATGTGGGTGGACTCTGTATTGAGCTGGAAATTTCGTAAATCCCTATCACTTTCGTCTTGCCTCTTCTTGCTCCTGGCACCCGGCTTCATCTCCCCAGTGCAGGCACAGTCTGCTGTCTGCACAAAGCCCACAAACTCTCCCTGACAGAGAACAGCCAGAGGTCACCAGGCTTCCTAAGTGGTGCTGCTGAAGAGGACATTTCACGCAGAACTAGCAGTGCGGATGCATCTGTGTGTCTCCCGTGAGCTAGAAGACCGAAGATCTGTCCCCTCCTCCACCCCCCTCCTCACAAGTCCCAAGCATCCCACTCTGAGAACCCCAGGGATCAAAGCACAGTCTGACTTGCTGATGTGGTGCCAAGAGGCCCGCAGCATGAAGGGACTTGGCAGGGAAAGGCCAGGAAGGAGTGAGG